ATACTACAGTTCAACTAATAAACCTCCTGTGTAACAAATGAATTGTTCAACAAACACTGAGAAGCATAGAAAGGGAGCAATCAAATTAGCAAGGCTTTAGGATAAAACAAAAAAACATTTTTAGGAGGACATCCATGACCAATGAACTACTTTTGAAAACTCACAAACTTACCCACGATTTTGCAATCTTCAGCTGCACAGGTGTGTAAACTTCTGTATTTCCAAGATTACTTTGTTAGGCACAGGGTTCAGATGTACTATTTGCTTGAGAATACAATTCTCCCTGAGCAAAATGAGTCTTCTTTCTGAATATAGAGGGCAGGATGCCCCCCCCCCACCACACAAAATAAATATCAATTTCAACACAGAGACATACTTCTTAAGATGTGTATGGCTGTGGAAAAACACTGGGATTTGTTTCAGTACTGGGCAGGGTTCAGGGCAAAGCCATTACTATTGGATTTATACGTCCAGAAAGTATAAATCCTTCAAGTCAGAAGTCAGGGTGGGACCTGGGTGGAGGAGACTTCTCAAGTCTCATCATCTAACATAAATCCAGGAGAATCAAGGGGCAACTCTGATTAAAATTATTCTTCTAATCAGCAATATATTGCTGGTTCAGATGGGACAAAATGCCCAATTTGTAGCCTTTTTGAGAATGAGAAGAACTTTTATCTAGGACTGATGTTTGTTTTAAGAAGGAACCATTAGACTAGGACTGAGAAGACACAGGTTCGCATCCCTCCTTAGTGTTGGATGACCACTGGTTGATTTGGAGCCAGTCACAGGTACTCTACCTTTCGGGATTGTGTCCTAGGAATGAAATGAAGAGAGGTTCCCATGGAAGCATTTCTGAGCTGTTGGAGGAAATGTAGAATACAAATCAGACCAATACAAATAAATCAACATAAGGTTTACAGTTCACAGCAGGAGGGAATGTTCTTTTCCTGACAGTTAGAACAATTAACCAGTGGAACTACCTGCCTCCAGAAACGGTGAATGCTCCAACACTGGAAGTTTTTAAGAAGAGACTGGACAGCCATTTGTCCAAAATGGTATAGCGTTCCTGCCTGAGCAGGGGGTTGGATTAGATGACCTTCAAGGTCCCTTTCATCTTTACTATTATTATTATTATTATTAATAATAATATTAATATTACATTTCATGAAAACAAACTGCATGTTCAGGCCTGTCTCTCAACCAAGATTAGGATAAAATCATATTCTTTCCCACCAAAGTCTCAACTAGACATATATATATATACTATTCTGCTCCATAATATATATATTAATACTATTAATACTATTCTGCTCCGTAATATTTCTCCAGGACTTTTTTGTAAGACTTATTTTTAAGACTGCGGTTTTTATAAAACAACAGGTAGATCAACAAATCAATTAATTTAGACTCCACTATAAGTAAGAGAGGCAGAAATATTCATGTTTAATAGTCCACATGGATCTCAGCCTCCTACTCTGTATAGTTTTAACATATCATGAATAAGCCCTATCTTTAGTTTTTTGCCCTTCGTTGTGCCCCATTTCACTAGAACTACCAGCCATTGGCAATTTAGATCTTGATTACTGCTGTACCTCAAGGTATTTCTAGTTTAACGAAGAGAAAGACAAGGGGAGACATGATAGCGAGAAAGACAAGGGGAGACATGATAGCAGTATTCCAATATCTCAGGGGCTGCCATAAAGAAGAGGGAATCAAGCTATTTTCCAAAGCACCTGAAGGCAGGACAAGAAGCAACGGGTGGAAACTAATCAAGGAGAGAAGCAACCTAGAACTAAGGAGAAACTTCCTGACAGTGAGAACAATTAATCAGTGGAACAGCCTGCCTCCAGAAGCAGTAAATGCTCCAACACTGGAAGTTTTTAAGAAGAGAGTGGACAGCCATTTGTCCGAAATGGTGTAGAGTTTCCTGCCTGAGCAGGAGGTTGGACTAGATGACCTCCAAGGTCCCTTCCAACTTTACTACTATTACTAATTTCTTATCCCAAGATGGGCAGGACAATTACACATTTTCTCTCCTTCCTGAATTATCCCTCCTGAAAATAAGGCATGTATGCTTATATAAGAGGGGTAGCACATTATAATGCCGCTTTTAATTCAATGCATTCCCTTTGGTGGGGCCCGGTTTCTAATTTTAGTCAGGTTATCTTTCAATTAACTTGAATGTTGTAAATGCCAAAAGACTGCAGTAGTGGTTTTGAGGATTCCCCTTGGAAGACATTGAACCCCCTTCCTCCTGCTAATGAAACTGATACCAACTTGCTCCATACAAAGTAGTAGCTCCATTTGCCAAAGCATCTGGAAATCAACAAGGATTAACGCCTCCAACAGTTTTAATAGTTTTAAGCCCCAAGCAGCTGAAACAGACGGATTCAGAAACGCCTGCATCACCATCCCCACCCTTCCAAAGGAGCCAGTAGGCAACAAAGATCTGCTTCCCCCACTGTCTTGATTTCTTCCCTTTGGAGAAGTTTCACCCATTCCAGGAAGTCTAATTTTCCAGTGGTGTGACTGGAGGGATTAAATTCTCTTTGACAGGACTCCCATACTTCCAGCTGATACATCAGCAGTGGGGACCAGTAGTGTGTGGACAGGAGAAGCTCTTCTGATTTTTGGGACTGGGGCAATGTAAAGTTGCCTCCCTGCCCCACCTCTACACCGTGGGAAAGAAAGCCACTTCTACACACCTCTGTTGCCTACATTCAAGCCCGAGACAACCGCCAACTTCAGTTTTGGAAATCCAGGAAGGATTGCACTACGCATCTCCACTGCTCTATGTGCATTGCCTTGATTTCTCATGCAGGGCAGAACCACTGCCCAAGTTTTGCCCCGGAGAGAACTAAACTAAAAACAGGAGTGCTTTTAAAGGACAACCAGCTGCCTAATCCAGACGCTGAGGGCTGGAATTAAGAGCCGGCGAATTTAGTAAGTCTTTTCCCCAATGCGTGGTTTATTTTCCTATCGGCTTCATTGCCTTTACGATGATAGCTCAAAGCACTTCTGCTCTTCAGCCGTTCTGGAATCAGTGATTTGGTGCTTCCCAAATCATGGCACCTCTCCCGCACGCAGTTCACTTAAACAAACGACCTGTTTTAAAACCCGTATCACTTTTTCTGGCCGCAAATAATGCTCTGAGATTTTACTAGATGCCTCCAATTGAGGGACTCAACCTTCCTGCTTTATTAGCCTAAAATATTCCTTCTCCGAACAAATTTCTATGCAATTCGTGGATAGTACGCCCTACTGAATTCATACTTATTTCTGAAGGAATAGCCACAACCCTGCAGCCAGGGCGCTATCCAACCTCCCAGACCAAACCTGCTAATATGGATTGGTAGAAAATTGCAGGACTCCTTGCATACAATGGGGTGGGCTTAAAGAGCTTAAAACGAAAGGGGATGCCATAGCTGAAGGCAGCCAGCAATCAAAATGGAACAAACATCTTTATAGTGAGGAATTGTGTCTGTAGGGTCTTCAACTGCTTCTATAACTTATTTTATACTTGTCGGTTACAGAGCAGCGATATTTGTGCTAGAAACACATTTGCTTCATTAATGTCACTATTCTATTACTGAACTCCTATTCACCATTCTCAGACCAGCCTGGCTTCTTCAAATGATCAGACTAAAGGGAACTTGTGTAGCTTTTGTTTTAAAAATCGGGTTGTTCTTGTGCACTATACACGTAAAAAACCTGACAACCTCTAAATCGTTTACCATAACAGAAACGTTTTTGAACGAAAATTTAATCGCAAAAAGTTTTTTTTAAAAAACCATAATAAGAGCAAGTGACTTACAAAGGATGGATTAAGGGTGGGGTGTTATTCTATGATTCTTAAGTGTGTAGGATTTGTGGGGGGTTGCCTGCAGAGGAAGAACAAACAAAACAAAGATTTAAATTATTATATATCTTAAGGTAGGTACATTTGCAAGAAAAAAGCTAAAAAACTTGTTCCTCTAAACTTTATACATTCAACACAAATCTGACTAGACCCTTGATGTTTCGAATTAGTAGCCCATAGTTGTTTCTTTCTAGGGTTGAAACATATAAATCACCTTCTGGTCGATTTCCCTCTTACAGCAAGAAAAATACATATTTTATGCATATGTAAAATTCATATACATAAAATTATCATTAGCCACCATCAGCACTGGAGGCAGGACATCAGTCAAGCTGCCCTCCTTCCAGGCGTGCTACTAATTCTGGAGTTCCAACCAGATGGGCCAAAAGAGAAGGGAGGAGGGAGAAGGGTCAAACAAAGCGCAAGACGCCACCTCTGTCATCATGAATGAAAGAAAAGCCTGAACCTAGTTTTCAAGGGCATCTTGGAAACCGTTGGCCTGTACCAGCTAGAAAGATAGAACTCCTTCAGAATCAGCGATCTGTAGATGTCTTCTTCACATCTGGAGAGATGCCACTCTGAAACGTGGTGGATCAAAGGCGGGTGTTGTTAAAACCAGGTAAGCAGCAAAAGTGGACCTAAAAGAGGTTGGCCTCTCAAGGTGAAGACCTCGACCAGGTACAGGCACCTAGAAGGGTAATAGACTTTTCTCTCTCCTGCCTGCTTTACTTCCCGCCTCCTTCCCTTGCACTGGTTACACCTGGTGCTTTTCCCCTCCTCTCCAGCCCCCCTCCCCTTAACTCTTCGCTCCGGCTCTTCCTTTCATCTTCCGGCCGGCAGACGCTCCTATTTATCCCCCGGCAATCAAGCCAGTGGCGTCACCAGAGGTAACTGTAATGACGAGTGCACCATTAAGAGATGACAGCATTAGAAAGAAGAGGGCAATGGTGAGTTCCCTCCCAGAGCCGGCGCTGCACACTGGAGCGTTCGCATCACAAGGTCATCCCCCCAGCTCGCCCCGCTCGCGGCTCCCCTCCGCCTCGGTAGGAGAAGAACTCAGGCGGAAAGGGGGAGGAAGGCGCCCCGGAGTGGATGGAGGCTGGGGTGGGTTGGTGGGGGGGAAGAACGCCAGCACGCGAGAGGGAGAACCCGGTTGGGTTGTTTTAGAAGACACGCGCGATGGAAACCAGAAAGGAGATGGTGCTGTTTCTGGACGGATGTCAGCTTGGCCCTCTGGCTGGCAAGAGGGCGCCCAATATGGCAGGGGCCGTGGGAGTCCCGGAGCCACAGGACAAGATGATGCCTAGGACTTGCTTGACTCCTAGAGCTGCCTCCTTGTCCTCCCGGAAGAATGGAATAGCGGGAAGAGGTGCAGAAGGAGAACAGGAAGAAGAGGAGGAGGAGGAGGAGGAGGAAGAAGAAGAGGAGGTAGAAGTCCTACCAGCGCCAGGGACGGTCCCAGAGAACCGCTCCGCAGCAGCGGCGCTTCTTTCTGCTAGTCAGCAGACCTCCCTCCACCGCCTTCCCCCCACCAAAAGCCCCCAAAGCAGTTCCGGCACCGAATCGGATTTCTATGAGGAAATCGAGGTGAGCTGCACCCCGGATTGCGTCCCTGACAAGGCGGAATACCACCTCCAGCACGGCAAAGGTACCCGACCCCTCCCCGCTTCCCTTCTCTTGAGCTCCCCGGGGAGAGCCATCTGGACTCGCAGCTGGGTGGGACGGGACAAGACGAGAGCTGCTGTTTGGCTCAGTCCTCAGAGCGCTTCAAAGCGACTAGCAGCCGATTTGTTCAGTCTGGCTTAGATGATTTCTGGATCGCCGCCTGCATTTTGTTTTCTCCCCCTCCTTTGAACTGCCCTCTCCCAGTCTCCAAACCCTGCGGCTCGGTCGCTTCCATTTCTAATTGCCCACCAAGAGGCATCTGCAATAAGCCACACACATCTCCCCCTTTGAAGTCTAACGGCGCGTTACTGGAGGACGTGAAATCGCATCCTCGCTGCAACAAAGAATTAAAAGCTTTACAGAATTCCCGCTCCCCCAAGCCTAGACTTCGGTTGCAATAAATCCCCCAGAAGCTTCTCTTTCTTTCCCTATTGCTGTGCCTAGCACCTCCTTGATGCTCCCTCCTTTCAAGATTATAGAACTGCGTGGCGCCCCCTGCCCCCTTCCTATTGCCGGGGAACAGGAAAGGAAAGCTTCCTCCTTAACATTTCAGCAAGATCAAAAGCATCTATCCGCGCCTGCCGGCCTCCCTATCCAAAGGCTGTGTTGCAAGGAATGGGAGCAGCAATTCCCAGCAAAATTGCAGCATGCCTGGACGAATGAAGAAGCAGACACCAGCACAGGCGACATCACACACACACACACACACACACACACACACACACACACACACACACGTTCTCTCTCTTTCCCTCCCCGTTTCTTTCTCTGTCTCTCTCTGTTTCTTTCTCTGCCTCTCTCTCTCCCTCTGCCTCTCTCTCTTTGTTTCTCTCTCTCTCTCTCTCTCTCTCCTCCCTGCCCCCCTTTTCTGAACTGCACACCTTGTAGTTCTCATGTCTTCTTGGCAGGTTTGTTCGAGGCCCCAATTGCTCTTCACTTCCCTGCCTTATGGTGCCAGTTCGGAAATGGCCGTGGGGTTTAACGCCTTTGGTTTCCGGAGGACACCTTGAGAACCGCCTGCAATGGAAAGCAAGAGTCCGAAATCGAGGGCCTTTCCATCCCCCCCCTCATTTCCTTTCCTAAACCCCCAACCCTACCCTCCTTCTGTGAAAAGGATGCCCAGAGTGAAAGCCCCTGTTTTCCTTCTGGGAATTTCTTTCACCTGGAGTATTGGGGGGGGGGACGGGGAGAGAGAACGCGATTTCCTATAAAGAAAGAGAGAAAGAGCCGGTGGTGTGTAGTTGGCGTCTACAGACATGGTTCTGTTATTGCGGGCTTGGAGAGAGACATGGCAGCTTCTTTCAGCTGCTTCCTTCAGTCGGCTGGACTCCCAGTTCTTTCACGCAACAGAAAAGGGGAATCTGAGAGAGATTCAGTGGCACTCCTTTTGCTTATTCTCTTTACAATATGTTCTGTAATGCACTGCAATATATAATCCAACAGAGACCCTGTCCTGTTCACTGGTGTTCTGTGTATGTGTTTGAAGATGGAATCTTCTATGCCTTAACTTCCAGAAAGGCGGTCGAATGAGGATTTCGCAGCACCAAACCCAGACAGCTGAGGGCACTTTTCAGATCCATTTGATCAAGTGCAGGATAATAATGGTGACGATTTTCCTTTTCTTGGCGAGAAGGGATAAGCCCTTAAAACACTTTTCCATGGGGGGGAGGGGGGAGGACGGGAAGGGAGGAAGGGAAATCTCGGACTTTTATTCCACTCTTCCAAGTTCCTCTGATTGCAGGTGCTACCAAATAAAGGTTAGAGAATATTGCTATTCTTTCCACTTCCGGAAAGGAGTTTGCAGTCCAGAGATGTCGCTGCGTCCAAGTGGACGGCGGGATCTTAGGTCTCCTAACACGTTGGCTTAAATCAGAAACCGAGTGTCTTTCGTTGCATCGGATGGCAATCTCAGTGCCAGAAACTGGTGTAGTACGTGAATAAAACGTGTACAGGAAAAGGGAATTTACGGGAAAGTGTAATGTCCGGTAGATTTTAGGGTAATTTATTCCAGAGTGTGGGCCTGGGATTTCGATTTCATATGTGCAATATAAACTCCACAACATGGGATTGGCATTGAATGAATCTGTATCCTCAGTAGAAAGGCAGGCAGAAAAACCGGTACATGTTCAAGTGGGAACAATAAATTGGATTTACTCTTTGGTAGGTAGTTTTAGAATTGTAACTTGAAAGGCAGAGAAAAAAGGGAGATCGAAGAATTTGGCCACTACATTCGGCATCACAGTGGGCATCACTGAATAATCGTCAAGGAACTCAAAGAATTTTCCTTTCTTCGCGGAATACCATGCCTGGTTAAATGTAACTCATAACTTGCTCAAGCCTTGAAAGTAAAACCCATTCAATCTAAGGAAATTTAGCCTCTGAATGTACCTGCCTACAGCCAAGCCCAGTGGATGGAGGGGGCATGCGACCACAGTATTTACATCTGAACAGCCCAGTTTAATAAGGCTGAGGTCATAGCAGCCCCCCAAGTGCTGCCTCCATTTCCCAACTAACCACTTGTCAGCCAGGCTTGTTTTTATCAGTTAGGCATTCGCTATTCATTTCAACCCTGCACACTATATATAACACTTTGCATTCTTACATTAAAGGCCTGCCTGGGTCCCGCATCTTCAGAAATAAAGGGGACAAACTTGTTTTATTTCAAACGTGGTAGAGCAGCCCTGTCAACTCTCAGGATCTCTCCCATAGTACTACTAGAGAGGAGCCCCTGGCCCGAGAGTCTGCTCCAAAAGGCTGTCCTGATGACACTATGGCCCGAGTTGATGTGGGAGGGGGAAGAACATCGTCAGAGCTCTCTTCTAGCTGTCTTTCTCCCTCTGGATGGCTTCCTCTCTACTCTCCCCTGCAGGTCAGTGCTCAGATACTTCAGCCGAGAGCCCTAGCAGCGGAGGCGACCACTCCAAGGGCAGCGGTGGCGGAGGTTCTCAGGGGTCGCTGGCCTGCAGCGCCAGCGATCAAATGCGCCGTTATCGCACCGCCTTCACCCGGGAGCAGATAGCGAGGCTGGAGAAAGAGTTTTACCGGGAAAATTACGTGTCCAGACCCAGAAGATGCGAGCTGGCCGCCGCCTTAAACTTGCCCGAAACCACCATCAAGGTACTTCATTATCATTCCTCCCTCTTTAAGCGTCCGCCAAGCTTCCCGTATATTTGGCCACAAACCAGGGAACTTCCGTAGACTTCGGAGCGTTTCCAGGTGTCTGGACGGGGACTTTGACCCTCCCCAAGTCCTTTCCAATTCCCCCTTAGTTCCCAGTGTCAAATTGCTTCAAAAGCAGCATTGTTTCTGGCGATGGTGGGTCTTGATCCGCAGTTGTAAAGATACGCGGCTAGACGGTACCCTAGCTCTGCGCGGGGGGGGGGGTTTCTTCTCGAAAGAAGAGGAACTAGCCCTCTGCTGGGAAATAAATCTCGTTTCTTCCTTCAGTCAAACTTCTTTCCGGGTAGGCGTGACTAGGTCTACAGCTTTAACCTCAGGGATCGTTTCTTGGGGACTTAATGTCAGCCACTTCCAAAAATCAGTTCCATGTAGTGCAACGTGCTTAAGATGGTGGTCGGGAAGGTCATCAACCCTCCCCCCCAACACTTGATTGTTTATTTATTTTGAGTCTACCTTAACTCCCCCTTCTCCCACTCCGCCGAACACCAACTTGTTATCTGGCCTGCTGAAATCAATAACACTTACTCCAAAATCACTGCATTTAAAATTAAATGTCAGGCTTTAACCATTAGAATGAGAACATTCTAATGTCTAATTTAAGTGGTTTAAATAACATCTGTATCGTTATACAAAGTAGCAGTTGAGCAGATTTATTGGGGAATAAGCACCTTAAAACTAAGGAGATTTCCTAAGTAATCTTATAGATAGGATTTACTTATTTTTTGCCTATCCTGAAACAGAATTGTCTAATTTTGAGCCTCTCTAAGTGCATGTTAAAGACTCATCTTCAGTGCATTCATATTAAGGAATTTCCTATACACTCAGGCAGGCTGTCATTCAGGTTGTTAGCTTCACCGCACATCTTAGAGATAAGGATTCTCTGAAATAAAAGACTAAAAATTGGGAGAAAGAAGAGATGGGCACATCCTTCTATTAAGTATTATTACTACTATTAATTATTATTATTATTATTATTATTACAATTGTTATCAAAATAGCATTGATTGCCTGCTACCCTAGATTTATGAAGGTGTCCAAAAAAAAAAAAAAAAAAAGGAAAGGGAATATTTTTTGTATCTACTGTGGAAGAGTATAGGACTACATAGCTTATGGATAAGGGGAAGCTTATATTTGCATGTCTCATGCAGGACTGGTCTACTATCTGCACTTTTCCTATGTTTTTCACTCATTTATTCCTTTCACAATAATTGTATTTTATTTCTGTTTAAATGTGTGGCCACAAACAATTCCACTCCTTGACAATTGTGCAGATCTGGCAAGTTTATTACTGCAAACACCAATAAATATAATGAAGCCTCCCAGTTTGATTTTGAATGGTAGTGTGGGAGAAAATGCTGGGCACACAGCTCCATGCCATGGAAATCTTGAATCCCCTCAGTAGACAGAGGCAGCTGCCCCTGAGTTCCCCACGTGAGTTTTTCCCCCAGCCTCCGGAAAGATGCCGACCCCAGGCCTTAGGAGCTCGGGCGTGGATTGGGGGGTTGTGGGGGGATCCCAGCCTTGCTGGCGACTCAGAGCTTGCTTTGCTGTGTCTGTCTATCCCTCCATCCCAGGTGTGGTTCCAGAACCGGCGGATGAAAGACAAGAGGCAGCGCCTGGCCATGACTTGGCCCCACCCGGCGGATCCAGCTTTCTATACCTACATGATGAGCCACGCGGCGGCCACCGGCAACTTGCCCTACCCCTTCCCCTCCCACCTGCCCCTACCTTATTATTCCCACATGGGTCTTGGAGCCGCTTCGGCTTCGGCCGCAGCTGCCCCCTTCAATTCCCCGTTGAGGCCGCTGGACACCTTTCGCGTCCTGTCCCACCCTTACCCGCGACCAGAACTGCTGTGCGCTTTCCGACACCCCTCTCTTTATGCCGGTCCGACCCACGGGCTGAGCGGTGCCGGAGGGAGCCCCTGCTCCTGTTTGGCTTGTCACGGGAGCCAGGCAACCGGGCTAGTCCAGCGGCCTTCGGGATCGGACTTTAATTGTTCGGCCACCACCCGGACGGACTCCTTTCTCACGTTTACACCTTCGGTGTTGAGCAAGGCTTCCCCGGTCCCCTTGGATCAGCGCGAAGAAGTCCCTTTGACCAGATAAAGGACCTATCTCAGGTTGCTCTCTTTTCCTCCCGCCCTCCCCGCCCCGGCCGCGCTCCTTTCCAGAGTCTCCTAATATTTAATCCCATCAGTCAGTGGACACCAAGGAATGGAAGCAAAAACGAAAGTAAGCCTGGAAAATGGGGAGGATTTCTAATGCGCACAAATCCGCGGAAGAACCTTGGCCAAAGCGAGGTGCGGAACTTGGCGGATTATTTCCCCAAGGACGGGAAAAGGGGGGCGGGGGGCGGGGAGGAGAAGAATGATTTCTGCCACAGCAAAGCCAAGAGCTCCTACTTAGACTTCTTTAGGAGGTTTGTCTCCAGTCTATCAGGGCAGATGCTCACCAAACCACGGCGCCAATAGCTTATGCATAACCTTGTATGTGACTAAAAGGAAAATACTTGAAAGAAGAAATTGTCGATCATTTAAAAAAAAAAAGTGTATGCCTGATGAAAGTGAAGATTTATTCTTTGCCAGATTAAAACAAAGAAAGTAAAAGAAGGGCCTTTGTGGATTTGCGATAGTGTCAATCTGTTACTACGACTTTTTCTCTTTCTTTAATCCGATAGCCTTTACAAAGTAAACAGCACTGAACCAGACATTAAAAAAAAAGTTAACCTCTTAGAAATATTAGCTTTCATTCTTTACACATGCACATGTATTTATACCCTCATGCATACACCTTCTGTGTACCAGCTGAGAAAGTGGGGAGGGAGGGGGGGAGGGAGGGAAGCGAGAAAGCCCAGTCGACACAGAGAACCCAGAGGGGTTAAAGCTATTTGTCCTTTAAAATAACAGCGCTCTACTGTCAGTAGCTGAATTGTGACCACACGGACCAAATTAACAAGTGATGTATATGTAGTGGAGAAGGTTTGCACAGGCACACACAATGCACACACCCCTTTTCGAAAAGGGAATCAGCTGCAAGGCTAATATTCTCAGGGCAGAGCCAGCGTGGCTGCCGGACACTAACAAGCCACCAAGGGAAGAGATTAAAGGGCAGGAAGCAGGGGTTATTTTCTCTCCCCAATCACTCAATCACAAGGTTGCAAATGAAAGCCGAATCTGTTTCCTTCTCCTTCCGGGTCTAATTTCATTTTCCCCAACAATCTTTGGGTTTAGAAGTGAGTTTCTGCTTCTGCATTTATTCACTGTATTTGTTATTGTAATTTCCTTTTTCCACATGTGGAATACAACTCCCCATCTCTGTCCTCCCCCCCCCCCAATCCTGGGTATGCTATACGTTTTTCTCCTTTTATCTCAATGAAATTACCTCCAGCTCCGTTGGTTATCTGTTTTTTCATTGATGGAAGGACAGCCCTCGACATTTAATACTGAATAACAATTATACTGAACCCAAGGCTTACAAATTAACTGGCTTTATCTCCCTCTTGCTTATTGTGACTACAAAGAACAATAAAAGGTGCTTGAGTTAATTCACTAATTTTAAACCATAGCATTATTTTAAAAATTATATACATTGGGACAAAAACAGGAAATTACTATTAGCAGTATGATGTTGGGGTAGAACAGAAGATTTTAAAAAAAAACCATTTTTTTGGACTGTGGTACGCCCAAGAAATTTTTTCGTTTCGATTTCAAACATAATTGAAATAAAAGCAAAATGTTTGAGACTGGTGGAAGGAAGATATTTCCACGTACAGCGCTAATATAGGACAAATCTCCAAGGAAGTCATAGGGACTTCATAATTTACAGTCCAAATCCATCAGTCAAGTAAACCTGATATCAGCTAGAATAAAAAATAGGTTTTATCGAAATCACTGGATTAAAAAAAAAACTAACCTTTTAACAATGTTAATGTGAAAAGTTTCTGCCCTTTTGTTGGAAATCTTTAGGGTTAATGACTAGGCTTCAGGATAACCTATTGGAAAATACCTTTGTTTTTCTAAAGAAGGTGCTCCCTATTCTTGTGAGAAATCCCACTTTAGCCTCCTGATCAAGGAAACATAACAATGGGGAGGACCTTTTCATTTCAACCTGGCAAGGAAAATTTCCCTATCTGGGAAGTCCTTCATTTTTTTTTTACTTTAAAGCGGCAGTAGTTTCTAAAGACAAGGAAGGAGGAACGTACCTTTTGGGAGCGGTTGCTTTTTATTTTAAGAAAGCTTCGTGGCACACTCCAAACCTAAATACCTGGCAAATTGAGAAAGATGCCAAACTCAAAGGAGAAAAAAAAAAGAAAAGAAAAAGAACGAAAACAGGGGGACATTCTTTTCAATGTAATCCGTATTCATAAAATTATTGTTTAATGCACAATAAACGTGCAAACCATAATAAGGTTTACCTCAAACGTACTGAAAACTCCCTAGATGCCTAGACCAGGGGTAGGCAACCTTGGCTCTTTTACGACTCGTGGACTTCAACTCCCAGAATTCCTGAGCTCCGGAATTCTGGGAGTTGAAGTCCACGAGTCGTAAAAGAGCCAAGGTTGCCTACCCCTGGCCTAGACTAATGAAGAGGAATAAATCCCACAGAAAAACCTGTAAGACTTAGTTTTGAGTAAAAGTGGTTAATTCTGGGGTGCAAATTACGTTCTAAACCAGGAATGAAACTATGCTGGCTCCCATCTCTAGAACTTCCGAACTTCTAAGGCCGAAATGCGGAGTAACAAGGCATAGTTGGGACTTCTTAAGGAAGAACGCAAATTGAGGTTAATGCTTCAGTCCTCCTGCAGTCTTTGGCCTTCTGTCAATGGGAATTGTAATCCAACCGAGTTGCATCATTTTATCAGACGAGGCACGGAAGAAATAAAATTAAGGGGATTTCTCTCTATCTGATTTGGGTCTTCCCCCCCTTTTTTTTTGAGGGGATAGGGGAGGTTGGAAATCCCAATATGTTAATCATAATTGTACAAGGGAAAAGCTTGCCATTCTATTGCCTAAAGATTTGCTCTTCGGCTTGTCAGGGTCTTGCCCCACTTCCACCCCTACTTCTTTAGATAATAGATAAAGGCTTGATCGGTCTAACTTCAGGGAAGGAGTTTTAGCTGTGAACTTCGGCTTTAGCTCGTTTGGTCAGATCAAAATTCTTAAGCCATCCGGCTATCCTGAAGTCAGCTTCCAAGGGAAGTCCACAAATAAGGAAAGGTAGGAAGTTTGCCTTCGAAATGAGACGCGCCCACAAATGTACACATGTTATATATGTGTTATTTTTCCAACTTAGAGTCATAACGAGGGCTGCAAATTTTCGGAACGGTGATTCCCCCCCCCCCGTGGAAAGTATCTTGATATCCCATTCCCCCCCTCCCCGCACAATCTTATAAGCAATAGCATAGAATTCAAATGTGTGGGCATCAGCTCTCATCGACTCAACCAGCTTCCTGGGACTGATGGTAGATGCCATTTGTTGCATTTGGATGTTGTACGGTTCTCAAAATCGCCAATTTTAAGATGCATGAGTTTCAATTCCCAGAATTCCCCAGAAAACTCTGGGATTTAAAGTCCATGCGTCCTAAAGTTACTAAGTTTGAGAAACATTGTTGTGTTGTGAAAAGCTAGCATAGCAAAATCTCAGTTCTGTTAAAAGATACTACCGGTACTTCCCAACTCATACCCCTGGGAATTAATTTCCTCCTCGGTCTGATATGGCGACCAGCGGAGGGGGAGGGAGGATTAAAAGCGACACCCTGGCATCCCCCCAAATTGGCGTTTTCAGCAATTGAGCTTCAGGCAGATCCAGGTGATTTCTTAACCACTTTGATGAGTCAAATATTTACAGGATTGCTGTGCCAAGGCGTTGCTCTCAAACTGGGGTAGACCTCGGAAGCTGAAATTCACAATACCCACATATGGAGGGGGGGCAGAGAGAGATTGTTGTAATGGAGACCACAGGGTCTAAAGTATTGTGGTATATAGTATTGCAGATAATACCGTCTGTAGTACAGTATACCTGTATTATCCTTTACGCACAAAACCACGTGGATGTGTTTGAGCCAGTCATACCTTCAATGCTCTAGTCTAGGAAAAAGGCAAGAGCAAATCGCCCTCCATAAATATTGCCAAGAAAACTCCAGGAGTGACTCCAAGACACAAATATGTGTGAGTGTGTGTATGTATGTATGCACGTGCATGCATGTAAAAACACACACACACACACACACACACACTATCGCCTTCTGTCATGTCCCTCTTCCCACCGACCCAGTCTTCCAAGGGGGCCCTTTTCGACCGTCTCCCCAGCTCTGGTCAGAGGGCCGAGATTGTGGAGCCCAGGTAAACAGTCTGCGAGGGGGCGGCAATGCCAGGCGTATTTTCAGTTAATAGGGAGAGAAAATGAGGTGTCTGAAGCGATATTGGAAACTACAAGATCGATGATCCGCTCTGTGTCCAATCAGCAGCCTTTAATTGACTGTATTTTCTAGGTAATTGAGCCACTCTGCCTCTAAATTGAAGTGGAAGATGTAACAATACATCTTTGTCCCAGGAATTACTCACTACTTCATAATGAAAATTTGCTTTTGCTTCTTTTTCCTCTTTCGGTTTTTTTTTTTTTTTTTGAAAAACAACAAGAAGCTGCTGCCATTTGCCAAGAGCTTCCTGGAGGCAAATGTGAAGAGAGCAAGGCGCAGAAAAAAATTATTCTTAGGGGGAAATGCACAAGGCCGGTAATGGCGGGAGCTGTAGTTCAGCAGGACTGAAGGGAACCCGCCTGGGAAGTTTGGAATCTGAAACTGGAGGGTTTGGTGAAGGAAATCGAGAGGCACTTGAAAACCTGGGTGGTTGGATGCGCGTTTGTGTATAAGGCATGTCTGTGTCTTGGTGTGTAGTCGAGTCTGTTTCAGCCTTCAAAATCCGTCCAACCTGGAAGGACTTTTTCTCCGCAGAGCAAAGGGGGCGGGCTGCTCGCAGTCCAGCCGCAGCATTTCTGAGCGGAGTTTGGGGACTCGGCCCAGATCAGCACCAGGAGGGAAGTGGGGCTGCTCGCTGCCTGCCTGCCTTCCCTTCTTCTTCTCCCTTCTCAAGCTACTCGTCTCCCGGCCCCGCCTGAGTGCCACTTGCCAGCCGGGAGCCCGGCTCGTCTCCAACAGGCTAGCGGCGGGTTGTTAGCGGGTGATTGATTGCCTTATTAAAGCGTGTTCTTGTAAGTGTGACCGAAGGGATTGCACTGCATATGTTAGAAATAATGCTCGTTTTAAGTAAGGGAGGGAAGGGAGGGGAGCAGGCGAGACACGGGTCAGCACTCAGTAATCCCACCGACCGAGTCGACCTGGAGGGGCGGAGAAGGGACAAGGCTCTGATCGGGGGACCGAGAGACTTCCTTTCTCGTCAACCGTGCCAAACTTGACTTCGTCATTCTCCCCAAAAAGTCGACTGGGGAACCTGGGCAGGGAAGAGGGGATCTGCTTACCCTCGTTTAACTCCGAAACGATTTCTTTCCAGATGGGGTGGACTGTGAGTGCAACCAGAAAGACGGTCCTATTGGCCGTTGTGAACCAAGAGTAGATTTCGGGCTGCTTAGCATCACTTTGGAGGGATACGCACCTGTTTATTCTT